TTAGTAATGTCATATGACCTCAGTCATATGACTTCACTAATTGAACTTAGTAATATGACCTGTTATGACCTGGTCATATGCCAACACTAATTATTACTACAATCATCATCACCAGTTGAATACCACATATAACTATTAAGAGAATGGTCTTCTCTATCACCATATTCATAGTAATATGAAATTGGTTTATGGAGGATATTATTTGCTTTAAATAGAGAAAAAACTAAGTCTCTGATGATTATTTTGTAGAAATTATTTGTAGAGCAGAGCTCATACCAAGGCATAGAAAATTTACACAGTATAAATTTTACTTACAAGATCTGGGACTATATGTCCTAGATATATAACCTACTGGGATAACAACCCGGAGGCGTTAGAATTATTAGTTGTAGGGGCATTGCTATTATTGGTCTTGGGGGTGTTACTATCATTAGTCATGGAGGTGATGGTGTTATTACTCATGGTGGTAGCATTATTAGTCTTGGAGGTGGTGGTGATATTGGTTATAGCAGTGGCACTATCATTAGTCTTGGGAGTAGTAGTATCATTAGTATTGGGGTTGGTGTTATCATTAGCACTCATTTTTCATTTCTAAATACAAAAAATCGAAGTAAGCAAAAATTCATTTTCATAGTCTCTGTTAAATGAAATAGCAAATTACTTAAAAAATAAATTACAGACAAGTGGGCAAGTAAATATATATATAAGCAAAAAAATAATATTATTGCTAACTTATCTTATAGGTGGGAAATTGCTTATTTTTATACCATCCATTCACTAGATTAAAAAACTCTGTTAAAAGAGAAATTACACAATTAGTAATTACCTTACTCTAGCACAATGCAAGATCCTGCCACGTAAAGCAAGTCTATTTGATTATAAGTTCTAAATACATTTAGTATTTAGTCACCTGGTGAAATTAAACCCTCCTTAAATTCAACGATCGCTATGCTATGAAGTAAAAAGACAACGATCTCGACGATTTGGAAATTTCAAAACCCTGCAACATATGAATTTGGATAAAACTACTGATAAAGAACGTTATACTTATTACCCTTATAGCCTTTTTAAGCCCCATTCTTATCGCAGGATCATATAGAGTAAGAAAAGGTCTAGGTATTATTCGTAACATTCATTAACTGTTAATAAAAAATCAACCGTGAGAATGTTAATAACTTTTTTTTATATACGTACGTACAATGATTCTTACATATTAAAGTCATTAACTACTATTAAGCTACTGTTGAAGTGCTGTTAGCTTTTTTATAACAAATTTATAAAAAAAATCGCTAAGCCACTGTTGAAGTGCTGTTGAAGTGCTGTTGGAATATGTAGGTGAAATATCAAATGTTTATTGTGTTTATTAAGTTTCGAATATTTAGTAAGAAAATGTTTTTATAGCGCTATAGTGCCACAGCACTAAAGCATTATAGCCAATCAAAATTTAAGATCAGGTGTAATGTATAGATTAGCTTCGTATAACAAAAACAAAGAATTTTTTAAAAAATCAATTATATCTCAAAATTTTGTCTATGAAACTATCTTTTGGGCTCTAATAAAAAAATTCTTTGCATAATTTTACTTTAGTTTTTGTTTAACCCCAACATCAAGATCTTACTCTTACTCTAATATTAAAAAACAACAAAATTTTAACTTTAAAAAATCGATTTCATATACGATCTAATAATTACATATAACATAGTGCTATGACACTATAGTGCTACAAAAGTATTTCTATTCAGTAATATTCAGTCTAAAAAATTGAGATCGAATTTTTGTATATAAATCATATGTTAATCGAACTTCCAATATCAAATACATAGAACATCAAAAATTCGAAAAAATTATTGCGGATGTACAAATATTTATGGCTTGTTAAATAAACCGCCTTCGAAAACTTTGTCTAAAAAAGGATAGCTATTATCGTTATGCAGTAGGAAAAATTGAATCGGGTTATTTCTAATTTTACTATAATATGTCGTTGATTACTAATGCTAATACTAATCTAATCAATCTAACTATTTCTGTATAAGGCTCTTAATTTTTATTCTTTTTCTAGTAACTTTATATACAGGACAAGGTTATTTTATTTAACAAAGAAACTATACTTATTGCTTATAACTTTATTTAATTCAAGTATGGTATTATTTTTAAACACATAGTGATAGGTGGGATATATCTTATTTAGACCAATAATAATAAGCAATAGTGATATACAGCATTATCTTACTTCGTATATATGCCTCATACATTTTTGTAGGTTATATCCTTTTCTGATTATATTTTGCGGTCTTATACTAAAAAAAATATACAATTTATCCTTAAACTAGAATTCTATACTTCGATTCCTTTAGGAGTACATATGTACATAGGTATCTTATTGTGGAATCGTCCCAAAATTTTTGTTGTAAAAATATATAATTGATTTTTTATATATACTTACTCCATTATCTCAAATTTAATCAAACGTTTATCAGAAATAATAAAACATCAGTTTCTTCTCTATTTTATTCTGCAAAATAATTACTATTCTTCTTGAGTAGGACATCAGCTCTGGGGTTCTAAACTCTAACAGCTCGTTGAATAGTATTGTTTTGCCCTATCTGTCAGTAAATATTAAGAACATTTTTTCTGCTTTTATAAATATCAGTAAAAAGAATGTTACGCTATAGTCATTATAATAAAAAATATAGGCTAGAGAAGAAACCAAGCTCAACTTTGCCAGTAGCCTATAATATGCTCACACTATCGTTTATAAATAATGTTCTTTTTGACCTGAACTGGGTATATACTTTTAACTCTCATTATATACCACTAGTGTTTAGTCTTTGTGTTGATAGAACAATTACCTAAGTTATTTGTACATGTATACTTAGTTATGCAAAAAATTATTGCAATAGCAACTAGGACCTCTGACTAATGTATGTTGTGAGACTCAACAGGCTCATAATCACAATTAGGTGGCTCAGTACTTAGATAAGGGTGTTTTGTTCAGTTCACAAAAATAACCTATATACTGCTTATTTTTTTATTCATTTCTTCATAATCTAACAATCTTTTGGTAACATTATTAACATCGCATCCAGCAAGCAACCTGTAGACTATGCATCAAGAATAAAATACATTATATTAAAAAAGAGTGGATAAATGTCCCCCTCTGTCCTTCTGACCATATATCGACCAAAAATATCAAGGCTCTGCATGAAATCTCCATAATGGACCTGTTGCTCGAGACCCTTATCCATAAAGCAAAAATGAATAATAATAATAATGCCTCTGAGTCATTTGAAATACCCACCAACTTTCTTGTAATAGTAAATAAAGATATTATTAATCCTAATAATTTGTATAATAAAAATATTTGCGAGTCTAACCTTTCTAAATCAGAAAAGCATATGTGGATTGCATTAGGAAAATGGCTTGGGTTTGAGAGAAAAATTAAAAGAAGAGAAGTAAGGCAACATCTCCAATTGAGGTGGCAAAAACTAAAGCATGCTTTGCATCTTCGTAGTAATAAGAAATTGTCCATACTAACAACCCTACGTATTACAAAAAAAGAAAAAAATCATATGCTTATGTCAGTATGTGATTTAAAAACTATTGAAGGATTAGTTGGGTTTCATTATATAATAAATTCAGAGTGTATTGTAGATAAAAACAACCAGACTTTGCTCCACCTAGATTTAATTGAGAATTTAGATGCTATAAATAAAGTGACTGAGGCTATTGATTATTATTATTTTCATACATTAGCTCATCCATCTCATCGAAGCAAAAGTTTTTGGAAAAATTTTATTGAACATTTTGGTGTATTCATGTTGAATAACCTCCTCCCTATGTAAGTTCGAATACCGCAAGTAGCCACAATATAGAGTATTTGAAATGTGTTAATAAATTACTAAGTGACCTTGTCCCTTTGTCGAACTGTATTAATTAATTTTTTCAAAAATATTAGGGATGTAACAAAAATCAGGTAATTTTTTAGGGGAGGAGGGGGTAAAAATTTTAAAATTATATATAAAGACCTGATCAAGATATATATTAAGAGGAGGAAGGGGGTAAGTCTCTGATAAAAAAAAATCAGATGATAAATGACACTGCCCTTATAGAAATCTGTATAAAAAATTAAGTATGTTAAGATGGGGTCCATTTGCACCTAGACCATTCGGGGTTTTCTGATAATAGCCATTAATTATAATATCATAAGTAACTATCATTGGGATAAAAATGACAAGCCAAATAGTCTTTGTTGTCTCATTGCTCTTGGTGATTTTGACGGAGGTAAGCTCTGCTTTTCTCAGTTAAAAATAATTGTTTCACTTTGTCCGAAGCAAGTTATAGTATTTTCTTCGCACCTCCTTCTCTATGGTAATTTCTCTGTTACAAAGGGAATTCGCTACAGTGTCGTGTATTTTGTGCATAGTTCCTTCTTTCATCATTCACAGAACTTCTCTTTTGTATATAATAACCTTAAAACTGGTGTAGAGAGAGATGCAAAAGGTAATGTTGTTTTTGAACTAATCAAGCATCAAAATCTTGAAGATGCTTGCAAATTGAATCGCCAGACTCATCTTTTTAAACTGAATGCAGAGCAGATACAAATCCCTCCACAACCTTCAGATCATAGAAGAGGATGCATTGGTAATAAAATATATAATATTAAATTTTAAATGTAAATAAAAAATTAATTTGATTATTATTTCTAGATTTGTCGTGTGCCAGACATGGATTAAGGGTAGAAGATCTGTTACTTAATTCATAATAAAAATAGCATATACAGTACACCCTCCCAAAACCAATCCTGTCAAAATCGATAACCTGCTATAACTGATAAAAAATTGATCCACATGTCAGTATATAATTTAAACCCAATAACCTGCCATTTCTGATAACCGATACCCAAAAGATCAGATATCAATAGGATATCAGATTTGACAGATAACATAAATTGATTTGATTGGCTTAGATCAGGTTTTGTGTAACAAATTATATAGATAAGAAATATAACTTAGCCAATTATATTTATTTGTAATCATGTAACCAGTTGTCCATTATTATTTTAAACTCAATAACCTCCTGAAACTGATACAAAAGTTGTCCACCATGCATACCGGATTTGAAAGGGTATACTGTATATTATATATTTACGAATATATATTTTTTATATAGAAAAAATTAATAAAGTTTTACCCATATTGGGTCTGTTTTTTAACCTGTATATATGAGAGTACCTAATATATGAGTTATTTCAAATGCACAAAAAAATGAATCGCTATATTCTAGAGTATAAAGTTATTAAATCTAATAGGTCTAAATCCCTAAATAGGATATAAATCATATAATCTCTAAAACACACTATAATAAGTCATAAAATGGTTGGTATAAACACTTGTGGAACTGATTGTACTGATGCTGAATGGAGTGAATATTGTAAAATGTTTCAAATTTGTGATAATAAAACTACTAGTAAGTGGATAAAACAGATTTGGCCTCGCTTGCAGTATTTTAGAGAAAATAATCTCTTATCTAACAAAAGATACTTTGAAGCTAGGAAAGAAATACTACTCTGGAATGAGATTCATAGATGTTATGATAGTTATGTATCTAAAATTGGTATTGCTATCTGTTTCTCATATAATAAATTAATATATGTTAGATAACGAACCAAAAATATTAGAAATTATAATTACATAGGAATTGAAAAACATTAGGCTACTCATTGCACAGGAAATAGCTTTTGCAATATAAGTTACGATGAATATTTACAGAGAGTTGAGCAAAAAGCTATTTCAAGATATAATTATGATAATGAATATACATTACATCGATATAGATTGTAGATACAAAATGCTATCAGAAGAATCGAATGTGCAAGAGCAGTTGGAAGAAAAATTAGAGCATATACAATTATATAGAGGAAGGTTGTTGAGTGGATCTATCACCCTGAAAGATTAACAGCTCAAGAACTTGCATTACATTATGCATGCTTACAGAATATTAGAACAGAAATACGACAGATTAGCAATGTGTAATTATTATATATTTGATTTATCTATCATGTATTATTTAAATAATTTATCTATAATTTATTTATATATCTATTTAAAATAAAATCACCTAAGGTATCTCTGAAGGCTGGTACTTTAGACTTTATTTCGTTATCCCTGAGGGCTGATAACTTTTTTTCATTATTTTTATATATGAGCATATTTTATAGAACACAAAAATCTCTATTACAGATAATGTATCAAGGTTGTTATTTTTTAGATTCACCCCAACTCCAATTGGACTGGATACCAACAGCTCAAAAATGTGAGTGGTGAGTAGAATATATTTATATTGTTATATTAATAAATAACAGAAAAAATAATTATTTGATTGTCAAATCTTGATTTATTCATCTAATTTTAAAGAGGTGTTCTAACCTAATCTAATAGCAAGTGGGTCATCTATTGACTTAGTAAAATCAAAGACTATGAAATCTTGATCTTTCAAATGCTTATCAATAATTTTAGATGCTTTTTTTGGATCGTCTGTATACTGGCATATAATTCTATGGATATTGTCTCGACTTCCTGCTTCCCAAAAAAGAGCCAAATGCGAAATATTTTTACGAATAATTTTAGATATGTATATTTCTGGCTTACATATATGGGTGAGATATTTTGATGTCGGCTACTAATGAAGTAAGGAATAATTCATTCTTGCACTTTCTTTGGTTTGGCATATAAATCTTCAAAAACAACAACTGTACTTTATTCTGAAGAGAATTTAGTTATATCAGGAATTTTATCTGGAAATATCTTTTTAAATGTGACATCTTCTCGATATAGTTTAGGGGCATTCACAAAGATCTGAAAGCTATTTTGTACAAGTTGT